ACCACCACTCTGAACTGGTGAGCAAACACGCGTGCTACATTTCTGTTTCAGTTCATTGATGAGCCGGGCATGGGATACATCCCCGTCGCCGAAGACATGCACAGCATGGCAGACTCACTCGGATCCGTAGAATACAGGTGTTTGTCCGTACGAAGAAAAGTCCCGAGTATTCAGAAGGAGGCCCAAGTTTTTGACACAGATCAGTACCTCTCAGATCAGTACCTCTCAGATCAGTACCTCTCAGATCAGTACCTCTCAGATCAATACCTCTCAGATCAATACCTCTCAAACCTCCCTTCTGAGAAGTACCTTCCAGTCCAAGTTTCCGGCCGACAGCACAGCGAGCAGTGGCGTCAAGAGTACTCGGACGTCGGTCAAGAGTACTCCGACGTCGGTCAAGAGTACTCGGACACCGGTCAAGAGCACTCGGACACCGGTCAAGAGTACTCCGACGTCGGTCAAGAGTACTCGGACATCGGTCAAGAGTACTCCGACAGCGGTGAAGATTACTCCGACAGCCGTGAAGAGAGCAGCGTTAGTGTGTACGGTGGCGAAGAGGACAGCGGTGGAGTTCCGAATCGAGGTTGGTTAGGCGTGGACGGAGATGCGGACGGTGAGACGGATGGCGAGTTGGAACAGGAGACGCGGTATCTGGACATGTACACGCCGTTCAAATGGCAGTTTTCGCCGCAGGTGGGAGATTACCACAACTTGACGGAGGAGCAGTTCCGTGCGAAGGTGTGTGTGCACCACGACCCGCGTTGGACAATGGCTTTCACGGACGGGCGTTGGTGTAAGATGCTGGATGTGGTGCCTGGGGATGTGGTGCGTGCGAGTTTGTTGGATGAGGGGTCGAGTAACAAGCCGTTTGGTGTGATCAACCGTGTGAATGTGACAGGATTTGTGCGCGAGAGGAAGCCGGTACGGGCTGCTAGTTCGTGTGCTGGCAAGCCAAGTATTATGGGATCCCGACGGAAGTATTTCGACTACGTGGCTGACGAAATGCCCGTCTCTATCTCTACCTACGCAGTGAAAGATGGTTCGCTCTCCGGTATTTTATTAGCACGTCATTCGAACTATATTAGCTCCCGTTTGAGTATTGATTTTCTGAACGTGTGCTACACACCTCGGGGGGGTCAGGAACCCGTGGTTTTCGGCTATAGCCAGCTTATTGATATGGCGACAATGCAGCCCCTGGCTGTGGCCGGTGGTGCTCGAGAATTGACCTCTTGGAATTATACGAACCCCGTCACGGAGAAATCCACGCAATACCTTGCCTTCGTCTCCACCGAAGCGGTCGGATCACTCACCCTCCATGTCGGTATGCTTCTGTACGGCTTTGCCACCAGACTTACAGGTTGCAGTACCGAACCTAGACCCGTCCATAACCTCCTCTGGGTCGAAGCACAACGTATACCATTCAGCGCTGGCTGCAGCTGCAACTCCGGCTCTTGCGACTGCTCCGATCCCGTCGAATGCAACCGCGGCTGTAATAAAGTCGACCAAATCGCCGTACGCCTACCCATACTACAATATGACCAAGATGTATTCACTGGCCTACTAGATCAGACATACACTGCCGTACTCGTACTCGCCTGCTCCAACGCACTCTTCTTTAATCGCGTTCAACTACCCTTCTCCGACACACCCGAAGCAAGCAATGCAACATACTACGATCAAGTCACAGACTGGGACCAACTCTGGCCCCTCCCCACATACCTACCAGACGACCTCTTCGATCAAGTTGGAGACGACGAGGATCCAAGTGACAAGTTTCAAGGACGTTCGAACGGAAGAAGTGGCTCTGAAGGAGATGCGGGGGATAAAGGAGATTTTGACGAAGCAGAGAGTAGTGATGCTGAGTTCTGTTATACAACTGAGAGCGCTGCTTTTTTCAGTGCTTCCATCTCCTTCTCAACGTGTCCCTTCTCCGCCAACGCTCGCCTCCTCCGCTCGGACGTTCATTCCGGTTCTGGGGCGACTACTGAGGCAACTGCTCAGACGAGGTTAAGACATGTCCGCCCGGGCACCAACTTGGCGAAGAAGGTGGACCGGTTTTTGGCCGCGCGCTCTGGTCAGGAGTTTGCTAATGGGTATGCCCGGACGGGTCAAACCCGTAGTGGTCAACACCGTAGTGGTCAAACCCGTAGTGGTCAACACCGTAGTGGTCAACACCGTAGTGGTCAACACCGTAGTGGTCAACACCGTAGTGGTCAAGCACGAGGAGGCAAAGCACGTGATGATCGTGCACGGACCAGTCGAGAACTGACTGATTCATTGTCAGCGGAGTCGCCATCTGAGGCGTCGTCTTCGACTGCATCATCTTCTACATCGTCATCGAAATCATCTCCTGAATCGCTTCGGGCAATGGGTGCTTCCCGCGTTGCTAGATTTTTCGAGGTGTGGTCATCGTTGAGTTTGTATTTACGTTCGTCAAAGAGTGTTGCCGTGTTCACTCGTAAGCCTGTGTCAAATTTATCGATGCAGTTTGCATGGGTGTCTGGTGATTACGATGCGGTATGGTGGAGTCATCGTACTCCGGTACGATTGTCTACGGGTGATAGAGATGATGCTACCTTCGTGGCATATTGTCGTTGGCCGAGTCGTGAAGACCTATATTATTATCGCATCCAGAAGGTGATGGAGGGAGTGCATTGTAAACGTCAATATACTGCCATACCACAACTGCTACCTGGACCTATGCTGCAAATCGATCCTGGTATTCTCCTTCAAATTTTTTCTAACGATCGAATTATCGCATTCAATGCAAGCGCTGCCGATGACACCTGGCCTCAAGCAAAAGACCCACGAATCATTCAACACTTCCTAGACGGACTAATCGGAGACTCCTACCTCGTAGATTCACACCCTACACGTATAGTCGCTGATGCCAGCCAACGAGATCTCATCTACTTCTTCGACAACAGCTGCTCCGCCATTCGCTGGCTCAAGATCGATGACCCACTCTACAACGATACCACGCCCACACGTTCATCAAAAACACCATCAGAACCTAAGTCAATCGAGGCGAACTCAATGGAACCGAACTCAACGGAACCGAACTCAACGGAAGCTACGCAAGCAAAATCAACACTGCCGGCCCCGTCGGATCCGCAGACAATGGTCCGAGAGGAAAGCAGCAATGGCGAGCTTATTCATGTAAGTCACATCTTATTCTACCCCCTGGTGGACCAGATTGTTCCCTCGTCATTTACCAGCGGACATTTCCCGGATGGGCCCAAGTTTGTTTTATCGTCCAACTACATTTCTAACACAGTCAATGTAATTAAGCGCGAAGAGGAGAACTGTAGCATTGAGCTCGGTCCCAAGTTTATCTTCCGATCTCCGGGAGCCGATATTTTGTTGGTGGAAGACTCAGTTGATGACGCTGGAGTGGATTACGTGAAGAAACAGACCAGTTTCTGGACCAGCGTATGGACTAGAGTATGGACCCTTTGGACGGCACCCCCTCAAGAACGGATTGGTACTTCGGGCCGCACGCCCATTTGGGGTCGGACGACAGATGATACGAGTTATAGCGACGATGAGTACGATGGTGTCGTTCTCAATCCGGTGGAGGAGGAGCCAGTACGCGATGGAGGTTGGCTACTATTTTGGACGGAGAGATCCCGCGGTCAGGTGTTCCGGGGAAATGTAATGATGAATTCGACTTTTATTGGGGGAGTAAATACGATTCGAAGTCTGCGTGGTGTGAGTGGGATCTCATTCGAGTATCTAACCTACTCTGCCAGCCGGAAAAAATTATATTTAAGTTCGTCAAGCATTGGCTGTATCATAGCCATCAAGTCCAACGGCCGAGACATGGCCGAGGTGTTCTGCAACTCCTCTTTTTCTGACGTTGTCGGCGATCCCCGAAAGGTACTGCGACCTCGCCAAATCTATATCGACGACACGTTCGGCGACATCTACCTCAGCAGCACCCCTACGCCTAATGTAACAGCCTTCTGGTTCGCAGCCGTCAACATCTCCAGGGCCCTGAACGCGCAAACCGTAAACAACGCCAACTCCACCTACGACCAGCACTCCACCTACGACCAGCACTCCACCTACGACCAGCACTCCACCTACGACCAGCACTCCACCGTGTTGGCGCTCATGGCCGGCGAGTCCGCGACCAGCGACAACCCGTTTCTGGGCCTCCCGGAATTGGATGTGATTCCCGACTCGGTCAAGACCGAAATCCGCAAGCTGGCGAATATGACACTCGCCGAGGCGGAGACGTATTATTTGAAGCCAGCAGGCAACGTCTACCGCCGGCTGCCGTTCGCCTCCATCTACTCACGGTGGGGCGAGGCGTTTAATGTGGCTAGCACCATTTGGGTACTGAAGGAGAGGCCAGACCTGCTTTCCTTAATGAACAACCCTGTCCCCTTCTACACCAACCCCGGGGCTATCATCACGCACATCTACGGGGATTCTGGCTACCTCGTCATGGTCGAGCGCGCGCTGAAAATCAAAAATAGAACCAACAGCACGCGTGTGCGGGTGTCAGACCTCGACCGCGCCACCTCGTATGCGTCCTCCACCTATTACCGGATCATCCGAGTCCCGCTCCTCGCCGACCCGCCACAAGTCAATGCCGTCCCGGTCAGGGTCCGCACTCCGTCCGAAGCAGAAATCTTGGTCGACTGGACGACCACGCCCCTCGGACCACTCTACGCCCCACTGGAGTCAGACTACATATACTACAGCAGACGCCAGGCCTCCAGCCTACCCATTATTGCCGGTTGGTTCGCCGTAGCGATCCTCATCGTACACCTGACCGGAGCGCTCGTCTACAACGTCACCGCGTACGACCCTGTCTTCCTTCCCGTCCCTTTCCCTGCACCCGTCCTGCTTGCGTTCGCCCGTCTCTCCCCCTTTGCACCCGCCCCCTTGCACTGCCTCGCTTCTGCGCTCGTTTGTGCTACCCCACGTGTGCGCTGGTCTTAAGCCCAAGTGTGTGCTTAGAATCTTGAAGTCCTCGCCGAGCGAAAAATAGCAATTCAATGAATACTAACTAAAATGGAGCTGGTACATAGTCCGTGGGAGGTACGTACTCCGTTGTATCAGCAGTAGAATCGGCTGACTTGGGCGATCGGTCGTTGAGGGTCATGAGCCGAAGCAGCTCCAGCGCTTCGTCGACTGCTTCTCTGAGCTCCGCTGGCGCAGCACCTGTGTCCCGCTGCAGGTCGCGGGGCGGACGGATCCTCGGAATCTCGCTGCTGTCGCTCAATCGCGTAGGAGCCAATCCTTGCCGACAAATATCTCTCTGATCAATATACTCTGTCCTAGGTTGCTGAGGAATGAACTCACGAGACGTTGATAGCAACTCCCCCCTTCCGTTCGGCGGCTCTCGAACACCCAACTCTCGAGGACCCAACTCTCGAGCGCCGCCCTTGTTATACATTCCTAGCTCACCTCCATATCCGCACTCGCCGGCAGTCCCAGCAAGCAGCTGCTGTTCAATGAACTGACTCAACTCCTGTTCACAAAAGTCTTCAGCCTCAATCGCGCCAAATCCCATAGCGGAAGGGATAATCGGATGTCGCAAGTCCTTCGGCCCATGAGCTGGAAAAAGACATGGGTAGTAGCTGTGTCGGCGCCTCAACCCTGTGTCGGAAACTCGGCTCTGTGTAGGCGGCTGCTTACCGAAAGGACAATGCTCGATTTTCCGGGGGCAATTGCCCGACAAATAGTCGTTACACAACTTGGTTTTGGTACTGATAAGGACAGACGCATATGACACGGTGGAATAGTATTAAGAGGGTGGGCTGAGTTGCCCGTTACAACCTCGGTGTGGTGGCTTACAGATCCACTGAGGGCCTCAACTCATGAAAAGAGTGGGCGTAGGAGCAATATGCTCCCTCCTTACAAGTGGAGCCTTTCTTGAAATGGTAAGGGCATAACCTTGTTTTATAGAACTTGTTGCGCTGCCAACGCTTGTCCATCCGTAAAAAAAAACAAACCACACCCGGTTTCACAAGAGTTAATCGTTACGGCCAACGTGATCACTACAGTTCGCCCCCCATTCCGCGGACTCCCATCAGCATGGTGATGACAGGGCCCGGCCGAACACCAAGTACAGTGCGCAAGAAATGTTTCCACTCACTCCTGATAGCATTTGTATCCGCAACGGCGAGACCCGCCTACACATCCTTCATGGCGATTTGCATAGTCCACAGACCATGCAACGGCCTTCATTCAAAAATTGTTGAACGATACCGCGCACACACGTGTGCGCGACGGGGCCCCGAACATTTATTTTTCCGAATTAAGTTCATTTACGATGTTTCAGTGTGTTCTCTTTGTGGTACTGTTGCCTGTACTCTCTATACCCGTTGCGGTGGTAAGGAAGCCGAGTCCTTTCGTGAACGACGTGACTGTCGCTGATGCATTTTCTGGGTCGCTTCCTGGCCGACATGCTAGAGCGACCAAAACGGACTACGGTCAGCACGGAGCGGACTGGAACGAGGGCACGTGTCAAACGGGTACTGGTCAGTCGCCCGTTGATTTTGGTCCTGGGTTCAATGTAACAGTGCCCGACCCGGTAGTCGCCGGGAACGCGGACTTGAGCGTGCTGCGGACCGCTTCGGAAAACACGATGATTAACTACTCAGAGGACGGGATCGTGGTCAACGGCGGCCTGAAGAGCAGCGTGGAGCTGAAGCTACCCGAGGCCGAGAGCAGTCTGCAGCTGGACTCTTTCCACTTCCACGTGGAGAGCGAGCACACCTACAACGGTGCCCACAGTCCGGCGGAAGTGCATTTTGTTTTTGCGGACAATGATGGAGCGCCGAAGGCTGTGGTCGGGTTTACCATCTCTGAAGGGGATACGAGCCCATTGCTGAGGACCCTGCAACAGGCGTACGTGAACGCGTCGGGCACTGAAGGCTCCAGCACAAACGTTGTCTTCGAGTGGGTAAATGGGAACTTCTTCGAGACTGTCGGCATCAAGGGGAGCGATGCCTCAGTGTACACCTATCAAGGAAGCTTAACTACGCCGGCCTGCGATGAGCCGATCCACTGGATCCTTGGCAATATCACAGCCACCAACGACGAGATCCAGTGGCTCAGTCCTTTGTCCTACGGCAACTGGCGAGTTGTTCAGGACACCACTGGCAGAACTCCGCAGACACTCACCCTCAGAGATACCAGTCCGCCTCTATCTAGCTCGACCGAGAGCCCAACTGCAGCACCGGCCGAGAACCCGACCGGAAGTCCAACCACAAGTTCAACAGCACACATGAGCGAACACTCCACTGAGAGCCCAACCGAAAGCTCTGGTGCTCACGCCGATATTTCGGCCGTTGCTATCGGGACCGCTGTTCTTGCCGTCATGGTTCTTCTCTGAACTAGTTCTTCTCTGAACTAGTTCTTCTCTGAACTAGTTCTTCTCTGAACTAGTTCTTCTATGAACCAGCTCTTTACTGAACTAGCTCTTCGCTAGCTTCCCATCCACGGACTTTCACTACGTGTTTCCTTCTCGGAGTCTCCCAACGTGTCTCCTACCCGAAGGATATGGGATTTGTTCATCGGAGACGGAATTTGTTTGGCAAAATTTCGGAGTGAAGAAGCGCGAGTGGCGTCCAATCATTTTTTAGAGGTGCTAAGAGGACGGAAGAAAGTGCGTCGGGGCAGACACCCGACAAGGTTCAGGTTTGCGCACTTTCGAGGCCCCTATGGCACGACAGATAGAATTGACTACAGATAGAATTGACTACAGATAGAATTGACTACAGATGGTGCAGTCGAAGGCACAGGTAACAATTATCTAGTTGACGACCAGAAATTCACATTATTTTGTTCTAAGTATATGTGACGCCATCTGTTAATGGGAACTATCTCCCTGTCCTGTTTTTTTTCCCTGTCTCGTCCACCAGTGCTTCTGGTTCACCAGTGCTTGTGGTTCACCAGTCAGTCCTTCAGTTATTTTCTGCTTGCTGTTTATTTTCTGCCTCGTGTTGTCATTTCAGGGTGTCACTTCTGAGAAGCAATAGAAGCCCTTGAATGGAGTGTAGTGTTCGATTTGGCGCACACTGTCAATTAGTTTCTGGCCAGTTTTACATGTAGCGGAGTTGGCTACAAAGACGAAGTTCACCTCCCGTATGAGGACGAATTTGTCTGAGTGTTGTTCTACGTATTCCTTGAGGTCATCTAGATGTATGAAGTACTGGTTGAAAGTGAGCATTTTGTCGAAGTGCTGGCATCTCTTCAAGCCGAAACGAGGGACACCGATCAGCCGCGTGAGGTTAGTTACAAAGAGGGCGGTTGTCCTGCTCCCTGGCCAACTCACGATCCATGAGCACAAGTTCTCAATAGCCGGCATTGTTTCTTTCAAGATATGGGGCAGGTTGCAATCGGCAATGGTGAGTCCACATGTCCTCCGTCCAAGAGCGAACTGAGCGTCCGATGGGTACTTGCACACGGGGCAAATGTACGGCCGGGTGTCAACAAGGCAGGACTCATGGTAAAAGTGACCACATGGCAGAATGGCCGCATCGGGATCCTTACCAAAACATGCGTCGCAGTTCCTGCCGCTCCGCTCGACCTTCTTACGATTCGTCGTTCCTCCCAACCTCTGATAAATTGAGTATTGCTCAAGCAAAGATAACACCGGATTCGGACGGCAGCAGTACGTGTATAACACTGACTCGTCGCTTTCCATCTCACCTCCCTTCTCACCTTCCTTCTCATCACCCTTCTCATCACCCTTCTCACCTTCCATCTCACCTCCCTTCTCACCTTCCTTCTCATCACCCTTCTCATCACCCTTCTCATCACCCTTCTCATCACCCTTCTCATCACCCTTCTCACCTCCCTTCTCACCACCCTTCTCATCTCCATTCTTACCCGACCCTGATAATACCCTTGCAACTGCCGCGGTCCACTCGGACGCCCGCTTCACTGCCCATGCCGACCCAGCTCCGCACTTGGGTTCATAAGTATAGCTCCGAAACATTTTGTGAATCGGTACATCCAGAC